AAGTTGTATTGTATTATGGCTGTTTACAGTTCTAGGTAAGTGGTAACGGACTTTAACAACGCTTGTACAGTAGTGTATACCAAGTTGTATTGTATTATGGCTGTTTACAGTTCTAGGTAAGTGGTAACGGACTTTAACAACGCTTGTACAGTAGTGTATACCAAGTTGTATTGTATTATGGCTGTTTATAGTTCTAGGTAAGTGGTAACGGACTTTAACAACGCTTGTACAGTAGTGTATACCAAGTTGTATTGTATTATGGCTGTTTATAGTTCTAGGTAAGTGGTAACGGACTTTAACAACGCTTGTACAGTAGTGTATACCAAGTTGTATTGTATTATGGCTGTTTATAGTTCTAGGTAAGTGGTAACGGACTTTAACAACGCTTGTACAGTAGTGTATACCAAGTTGTATTGTATTATGGCTGTTTATAATTCAACTGTTTATAGTTTATTGTTCAGTTTATGATTTGCTGTTGTAAAATTACTTAATTTCTGATCCCATTTATAAACGTACACGATATTTTATGTTACGGCTGTATGTGCTAATTAATACATGCCTCAGTGAGTGTAAACACAGGAGTTACAGTGGAAAATCTAACATTTGTGTTTCGACACACTAACCAGTCTGACATCTATGTTCTTAGATACTAATCAATCTGGCATATATGTGTTTCTACACACTAATAAATCTGACATCTATGTATTTACATACTTACTTCTGTGAGAACCGTGTTCCTACACATGAGATATGTAGAATCTTTGTTCCTACACACGAGACACTGTAACATCTGTGTTCCTACACATGAGACACTGCAACATCAGTGTTCTTACACATGAGACACTGTAACATCAGCGTTCCTGCTCATGAGACACTGTAACATCAGTGTTCCTGCTCATGAGACACTGTAACATCTGTGTTCCTGCTCATGAGACACTGTAATATCAATGTTTCGACTCATGAGACACTGTAACATCTGTGTTCCCACACATGAGACACTGTAACATCAGTGTTGCGACTCATGAGACATTGTAACATCAGTGTTCCTACACATTAGACAGTGTAATATCTGTGTTCCTTCCCTCTGGTTAGCAGTTCTGAACTGGACACAGCTATGTCTGACTGAATCGCATAAAGATTTATTCATGTTGAAAACATCTGTTTTTGTTCTCTCCTATCGTCAGCTCAGCGAGACTGTATGGTGGACGAGAGTAAGGGATGGTTTGTTACGAATAACGTCTACCAGTGTCAAGAAAGCCAGCAGTGTTGTCGAGAGTATGGAAAACCATCATGTTGTGGAGAGAAAGACAAAACGGAAATCATGTAAGAATTCCACTCAATAAAATCCAACCTATCTTAATGTACATTGTTGACTGATAAAATCCAACCTATCTTAATGTACATTGTTGACTGATAAAATCCAACCTATCTTAATGTACATTGTTTACTGATAAAATCCAACCTATCTTAATGTACATTGTTTACTGATAAAATCCAACCTATCTTAATGTACATTGTTGACTGATAAAATCCAACCTATTTTAATGTACATTGTTGACTGATAAAATCCAACCTATCTTAATATACATTGTTGACTGATAAAATCCAACCTATCTTAATGTACATTGTTTACTCAAATTTCATTGTTCGTTCAAAAAAAAGACAGATGTAGTTAAAACCGAGTAGGCGACGAAAATAACAAAATTAAATAATAGGTTAAACAATCGTTATTTGAATTTATATTTGTATTTCGTTCTTTTGTAGTCAGTTGTTATTGTTAGTAGAAATTGTTACTTGTGTTGATTTAATTAATTGGGCTTGGTATATTTATTATAATTTTAGGAAACATCTTAAAAATTAAGACATTTTATTAATTAGGTCCTCGTTTGATAATACTGTTAGTTTTAATCATTTAATTTTAACTGTCGCTGAATTCCATAACAAATACGTTAAATTTAAATGTTTTGGAATCATTAGTATGATACAACACAAAGTAAATAGGTTAAGTTTAAATGTTTTGGAATCATGAGTATGATACAACACATAGTAAATACGTTAAGTTTAAATGTTTTAGAATCATTAGTATGATACAACACAGTAAATAGGTTAAGTTTAAATGTTTTGGAATCATTAGTATGATACAACACATAGTAAATACGTTAAGTTTAAATGTTTTGGAATCATGAGTATGATACAACACACTTGCTGGTAGATGGTATTATTTCATTTTATAAAAGCCAGTTGACACTTGTATTCTTAGTTAACTTATATTTAACTTTACAGAAAACAGCAAGCCATCCTGTGGGGTGGACTCTTTGGTTTTCTAACCCTTCTCGGGCTCATTGTTTTTTGTCGTCGCTCTGACATTTATGTACTCGAGGGGGCACCACTGAGTCAGCGGTGCAGATGTTGCCAGTCTCACAACGGTAACAACGAGAAAAGACAAATGATCCAAGAAGCCTGAAATCTCGACGTTTTGTTGTTGTTGTTGTTGTTTTCATTCTTGATTTGAAGCAGATAGCACATGTTTTTGCTACTCATGTACGAGCTAGTTTTGTAGTTGACGAGCTGAAGTTTTTTCTGGACTATTCTTGCCTTGTTTATTGTGGAGGATGACGTTTCCGGCCCCAGGTGTTTTAGGTTACTAAATTAATGTCTTTTTTCTATGTAGTAGTTTTTAAAATAAACTCGAGTTGCTCTTTCCGTATTATAGGAGTAGTAAAAACACTGACTACGTTTTTTCTACATATCTTCTAAATACCCATTCTTTATCTTAGTGTATTTCCTCTTTAATCATAAAGTTATGGACCGGGAGATGATTTAAGTAGTTGATTTGTAAAACACGAACACACCAGAATGTCACCTTCTTAAGTGTAAGTTAGAGTATATATCGCTGTACTTCAGGTCAATGTCGTGGAACAGTTAGAACAAAAATCCGGAGATATCTAAAAGATTAGGTGATTTATTTACTGTTATACGAAGTACAGTCCTCAACTAAATAGTTTAAACTACAGTCCTCAACTAAATAGTTTAAACTACAGTTCTCAACTAAATAGTTTAAACTACAGTCCTCAACTAAAGAGTTTAAACTACAGTTCTCATCTAAAGAGTTTAAACTACAGTCCTCAACTAAAGAGTTTAAACTACAGTCCTCAACTAAAGAGTTTAAACTACAGTTCTCAACTAAATAGTTTAAACTACAGTTCTCATCTAAAGAGTTTAAACTACAGTTCTCAACTAAATAGTTTAAACTACAGTCCTCAACTAAAGAATTTAAACTACAGTTCTCAACTAAATAGTTTAAACTACAGTCCTCAACTAAAGAATTTAAACTACAGTCCTCAACTAAATAGTTTAAACTACAGTCCTCAACTAAAGAGTTTAAAGTACAGTAGTTAGTCCATATTCTAATAGTAGATAACGGGTAACAAAACTGGTTTTCTGTCTGCAACTTTCCTTGTTGCCCTCTTTAGTCAGTGTTTCTAGATCATGTGAACGCAGAATTTTTAATTTCTGTTCGATAAACGAAAACATTTTTTTTGTCGAATTACACGTGGATTAAAAGAGTAATTTAATACAATCAACAAGGAATTATATTACTTCTGTAGATAATAGACTTGAGTTGTTAGAAAGAAAGACTTAACAGAAACTGTATCGGAATCTCTTTAGGCTTAATATGTATCTCAGACTACCATTTCTTTACAATTTACGCAGTCCTGAAATTAACTAAAAAATCTTCATAATGGAAGTGTTGTTATAACATCGGGAAAACATAAAACCCTCTCTTTTCTCTTTCTTGAATCTGGAATTTAACTTGGGAGAACAGAGTAACTGAAGTTATAATTTTGATTAAAATTGATCAAATGTTAATTGTTGAATAGATGTAAATTGTATGTTCTTGTAAAAGGGAGCTTAAACTAATAAAGCATCAAATATAATATATATATATTAACATAGCAGTCAATGAGGAATCTTGAAACCTAAATATTTTAAAGTCGGAAACTGATATGATAAGATAATAAAATTTTTCAATTCGATATTGTAATGATGTTTTTTTTTCGACGTACGTTTGTCTTATCCGGATCACAACATCGGTAGATTTAAAAATGTTTAATTTCATGTTTATTCAAGGATCAGGTAGATTTTTATGTACATTCTGCCTAGGTTGCTGTCCAAGATTTATCTGAATAAAATATACGACATGACTAGTGGTGTTGAGTTATTCATTTTATGATTTCACTAGGGCTAGTATTAGTAGAAATTCTATCAGTCTTGATGAAGCTGAAATGGCGAAACGTTGGCTAAAGAATAATAAAGTTTTTTTTATCATTATCTAGAGAATAAACTTCGTTATTTTCTCGAACTTTGTTTCCTTGTTAAAATGTCTAAATCCCTCTAGTATGTACTACAACTTCTTGTTAAAATGTCTAAATCCCTCTAGTATGTACTACAATTTCTTGTTAAAATGTCTAAATCCCTCTAGTATGTACTACAACTTCTGAATGAATAACTTTGGACAGAACCAAAGGAAACGAGGTATTTTTTGATAAAGTTTCTACAGGTCTAGTGTCTTATAGGCCTAGTGTCTTACAGGTCTAGTGTCTTATAGGTCTAGTGTCTTACAGGTCTAGTGTCTTACAGGTCTAGTGTCTTACAGGTCTAGTGTCTTATAGGTCTAGTGTCTTACAGGTCTAGTGTCTTACAGGCCTATTGTCTTACAGGTCTAGTGTCTTACAGGTCTAGTGTCTTATAGGCCTAGTGTCTTACAGGTCTAGTGTCTTATAGGCCTAGTGTCTTATAGGTCTAGTGTCTTATAGGCCTAGTGTCTTACAGGTCTAGTGTTTTATAGGCCTAGTGTCTTACAGGCCTAATGTCTTACAGGTCTAGTGTCTTACAGGCCTAATGTCTTACAGGTCTAGTGTCTTATAGGCCTAGTGTCTTACAGGTCTAGTGTGTTATAGGCCTAGTCTCTTGCAGGTGTAAATAACCACGTTGTCATTCTCCCATGATAAAGATATGTGAAAGTGTTTGTCTTACTGGCCCAAATATATGTAGATATGAGTTACAAACAAGAAGGTAATCTATATCACGCATACATTTTTGACCAGTATTGTCCCTCTTAATATCCTCCTAGGGAGTGTCGTAAAGGGATCGGCGTTCAGATATGATTCCTCCCATGACACCTCCAGGAGGCCATTATGTGTCTGTATCCGCCTGGAGCGACATGTTGACTGGTGTTTAGGAATTCCCCCTATTTGTTATCCTTATTATTCTATTGATTTTAAACAACTTCAACTGCACCCCAGGAAATAAAAGGCAGAATTCGGATCTGGCTTTTCTTTGGCATTCCCTTTATGTCCTCCCATTTCCCCCCAATCAATAAATTGGTTTGTGCTTTATTGATCTTCTCCATATCGATCTACATTCCGATGAAAGTTATCAAGTGTATATTTTAGCTGAAACTATTATATACACGTGATTTACGTTGATCATTACAGTATTTGTAATAGCAACTGATTCTGTGTTGATTACAGAAGGAGTACCAAGGAAAGATTATGGGAGTTTATTGACTGATAATCTGAAGTTCAATCTTCTTTCGTTTTTTGTAATAATAAAAGATATAAAATACACTCGCGGCTAACAGTAGTTCTTTATATTTTTGAGGTCATAGTACAGACACTACAGAATCAAAACGTTTTCAGTCGCGGCATAAAGGCATATAGAATGGCTCTAAGTTTTTTTGTTTTTTTCAAGTACAAACTTTTAGCTCATAGCTCCATCTCTTGACCAATTTGAGATCTAAATACAACAGCCATTTTATGAAGGTTCATTGTTTATTTTTGAATTTCGCGCAAAGCTACACGAAAACCTATCTGCTCGAGCCATCCCTAATTTAGCATTGATAGACTAGAAGGAAGGCAGCTAGTCAACACCACCAACCCTTAGGCCACTCTTTTACCAACGAATAGAGGGATTGACCGTCACAATTTATCGCCATAATGGATGAAAAGGCGAACATGCTCGGTGACGGGGATTCGAATCTGGGACCTACCCCAACCACCAGGTCATACCAGGCCTTCGATCAAATTCTTAGTTTCAACCTTTTTTTTTTCATGATTGTACTCTTAAGCCTTTGTTACTTTTAGTCTTAAATTTTTACTTTTTTCATTGTTTTGTTCCCTTGTACTTGCATCCCCCCTCCGCGGTTTAGCGATAGATTTGAGAGCTTATAACGCTAAAAGTCGGCATTTAACATCCGTGTTGGGCAGAGGTAGCATGTCTCAAACCCCAGATTTATCGTTCCATAGCTACGTCCGGCTTTGACTTAAGAAGAACTTTGTTATTAAGTTACTTTTGGTAATTCATGCTTTAGCAGAAGAAATAGCTGACTTATTGTCTTAATGGTCTTAATCTTAGTTTTCTAAGTTACCACACAAACTGGTACTTGATTGTAGTATTTAAGATTCTCTTTTTTTAATAGTAAGTCATAAGTCATAATTCTAAGGGGATTTTCTGATAGAGAAGAAAAATAACAAATGTATCCCTGTTGGGAAAAAAAAATGTTAAGAAAACGCGCAAGTCTATACGTTTCATTCTCTGAGGCACGCGGCTTCTCAACAAAGCCTCCCCTGTGCAGACGATAACAAAAAGATTTAAACTCAACCTAATCACGTTCTCGCCATAGACCGTTTGTAGTAATTGGATAAAATGCCAGAGAATGTTTTCTTATGTTATATATTTGAATATAAACTAGCATTTCGTGAGTATATTAATGTTCTGGATTTCGAAGTCCAAGATGATTCAAAATGAACATGCACGAGAATTTTAATTTTAATTTTTGAATATTGACTTTAAGTGCCTTCACCGATCATATTTCCAAGGTAATAGTAACAATAGGCTTAAAAATCTGATGACAACTACGTATGCTAATAGTAAAAATAGGCTCAATGTGATAAAAATTACGTAAGCTAAGGGTAACAATAGGCTCAATGTGATAAGAATTACGTATGCTAAGGGTAATAATAGGCTTAACAATGCGATAAAAATTACGTAAGCTAAGGGTAACAATAGGCTTAACAATGCGATAAAAATTACGTATGCTAAGGGTAACAATAGGCTTAACAATGCGATAAAAATTACGTATGCTAAAGGTAACAATAGGCTTAACAATGCGATAAAAATTACGTATGCTAAAGGTAACAATAGGCTTAACAATGCGATAAAAATTACGTATGCTAAAGGTAACAATGGGCTTAACAATGCGATAAAAATTACGTATGCAGCTCTTGAAAGCCAGCATTAGTTTTATTAGTTTCTATTTTCTCTTTCAACAATACTAGATTGGCGGTTTGAACAAAACGCGTGTCTGGGTGCAGGATATTGTTAGGATCACCGTCCAGATCATGCTCACAGTAGCTGTATTTAGGAACAGCCTTGATTACGAGTTGAGAAAAACATTTTGAATATCTTCTTTGACAATTTTTCAAACGCCCTGTACCATGTCCAAGTTTTCCTGATTAAAATATATGATTTCCCATGTGTTGTTTTTGTGGAATTTAGTTTCTGTAGGATATGAGAAACATTTAATAAACAACAGTCTGTTCATGAAACGCAATTTTCCAACTGAGATGCAACGACAAAATTCTGAAACATTTGATTATTTTTTTCATAAACCTCAAATTACAAAAATGATTCGTTTTACTTACGTTTGGTAAGTTAGTCTGACTCGTTCAGCGTAGTCCAGATCTGACTCGTTCAGCGTAGTCTAAATCTGACTCGTTCAGCGTAGTCTGGATCTGACTCGTTCAACGTACTCTGAATCTGACTCGTTCAGCGTATTCTGGATCTGACTCGTTCAATGTACTCTGAATCTGACTCGTTCAGTGTATTCTGGATCTGACTCGTTCAGCGTATTCTGAATCTGACCCGTTCAGCGTATTCTGGATCTGACTCGTTCAGCGTAGTCTGGAAAGTCAAGAGATGGGTTGAGAAAAAAGAATTTAAAGAAATTAAACTTTCACAAACACGACCAAAATATAATAATACTATTTTCAATTTGTTTTTACAGTAATAACACAGGCCTACGAATTTAAACTTCATAAAAGTTGTTTTAGTTTTAATAACGGATTTTCCATAATTCAGCTTTCGAAAATGATATTCATTTTGTTTCTATCACGTAAGAACTTTTTACAAATTGGAAAGAAAAAAAAGTTTTGCTTAGATCAAATTATTATTTCGTTTACCGCAATGAATATTTTTATTATTATGTTTGTGTTCTAAAACGATCGATAAGACCCACGTCGCGATTGGTCTGGAGAAATCTATAGCCAGTGGTTGTCAACATTTTAAGCATAACAAAATGTGACCCGATATCAATGAAAATGATTCACTTATGTAAAACAACATGTGACGTTTTGTGAAAAATCTGTACGTGATGGAGAAAAATGGATATCATTTTTGGATTTAGTATACAGGAATTATTGTAGAACATGTAAAAATTTCAAGACACTAAAATCATCGTAGGCCTGTGTAATTAATGGAATATTACGTCATTTATGACGTGAACCTAAAACTACTTGTTTTAGATCATGTTTTAAGGATAAGAAAATTTGGTATCAAGACGATTGACGATTTTAAACATCAAATATCATATATAAATTATCATACCAGTTTTTAATGGGTTATTATATTTAGAGCCCTTGTAAATAATCTTAAGAATTAAGACATGAGCTAATAAAAATTATTTAATTCATGTGGCCACAAGAATGAATAATACAATAAAACGTACTCGTGACCACGAGCTGCGAGGTTTGAAGTGATGACAGGGAATTAATCAAATCAACTAGAGTAAAGTTGGAATTCACTGCTACGTTATAAACCTAAACGGAATGAAAGTCCTAAGGGACAAATATACTGCGTGACGTTTATAAACAGTAGAAGCTAACAAGTAAATGTTTCCAGATCTGCAAGCATTTGCTTTCCTGACCTCGGTTTCTACAATGGGGAATTAAAATTATTTTTCTAAAAGGACTTCATTTACTCTAGCGAATTTAACTTTCACATTCTTAAGTTAATTTTGTAGCGTAGAGTGAACCTTTAGTAACGTAAGAAATGGGTAGTTCAGGTCGTTCGTCTTGGGATGAGTATTAAAGGGTTGTCTAGCAACAAAGCCAGAAACAAATAGACCTAGTGCTTGTCGCGTAGACTTAATTCAATGATTTGATTTTATGTAAGGAAAATACTGAAACACTTGCAAAGATGAAATATACACAAATGGTGAACAAAAAAAGACAAAACTTTTTTGAACAATAATGGGATTATTTACACAGTATATATGACATAAATTGAATATTGTCCCCTATAGATGAGATTATTTACACAGTGTATATGACATAAATTAAATATTGTCCCCTATAGATGGGATTATTTACACAGTGTATATGACATAGATTAAATATTGTCCCCTATAGATGGGATTATTTACACA